AAAGTGACTGTTCATTTGCTTATCAGTTCAATTTACGCAGTTTAAACTAACCTATGAAGATTGAATCGATTCAAAAAGCTTTGAGCTTTTTCACTGTCTGTACTTAGCCTAGGTTAAGCTAGGTTGCAAATATTTAATTAAATGAAACAGAGTTCACTGCATTCAGATTTTGTAACTATAATATTTGGTATGCGCAGCTTGGAAGTAATCTACCATGGCTTCCAAAATTTATGGATAATAAGCCAAAATGGTATATTCTACAGGGAGTCATTACACAGTTCAGACACATTTTTACACTACTTCATGCTAGACTTGCATTCATATACCCCGCTGATCTCCAAGCTAGCAAATTTTGGAGGTGGTTTGGGGCTGTCTTCACCTTAAAGATGAACTTCCTATTGCTTTCTGGCTGTGATGAAATTTAATTTTGACAAATTTAAATGAGAGTTTTGTCTAGTCCCTATCAGGCAGAGGAGTGGCTGTTAAAGCTTTGCTTAACATGTGTTGATTAAAAGCTGAAGTTGAAGGGATATAATCAAACATGGACAAATTTTGGCTTAAACTGAATATATCAGTAGGACGGAAATTCTCTGGGTTACAAATTATCCTTACTTCTCACAAATTTAACATAATTTATGAATATGAAGTATTTAGAAGGTTAGGTTTAAGCATAAATTTAGTTTGTTAGACTAGGGGCCAGACTCCATTCCATCTGTTAGATGTCTAAGTGGATTTAGGCACCACAATATAATTCTGTTCCACCCTGTTCAGGTCCTGAAAATTCTTTAGTCATGAACTTTTGTAACATCTTGCCCTTAAGTCTGAGTCACAAAAAAGCAGCAAGGAGGAGTAGCACTCATCATCCTTTTCCATTAGCTGTTTTTCAGGGATTCAAGCACATGGAATAGAATCACAATTAGACTCTTAAATCTGTTTGTTCATTTGGACTTTCAAGAAACCTTTGATAAAATTCCTCAGAACAGCCTTTAGGGCCCTCTCTATACATTACAGGTATTGTGCAATGAACTGGTTAATTGCATAAATACCTGGACTAGGGATGGACATTACACATAAACTGGTTTAAGTGATCAGAAACAGGTTTAAACCTGTAACAGAACAGATGTTCAGTGCACATAAACCAGTTTGAGAATTACTGAAACCGGTTTGAGATAAACCTGGTTGAATGTAGTATCAGACTTACCTGATTTGGCTCAAACTGGTTAATGCAATGTCTGTCCCAGATCCTTTGCTGGTTTAAGATAAACCAGACTCCACCAGCGTCCCGGCATGCTCTCTGGGCTGGGCAGGGCTTTGTGCTCCACAGCAGGGCTGGTCTGTGGGCTGCTTCCCCCCCTACCACCACCACTCCTTGCTAAGCAGGAATTCCCACTTCCCCTCTGCTTGCTGAAGAGGTGTCTATGTATTAGCTAGCAGACCACATGCTATCTACTTTCCATGCTGAATCAACAGGAATCAACAAGCAGAATCAACAAGTAGCTGGTAATGTCCCTCTGTTGTTTTCTTAATTGGGTGATAAACACTGTTATCAATTCCCTGCTGGGCTAGTCACAGCATCCTGCTGGAGCCTGGCTATGCCCCTCTCAGCTCCATGCTGTGGAAGGAAGGGAGGGCTGCTCTAGCATCCCCTGACTTCTAGCCTGAGCCACTGCAGGCATGTGCCTGCATTTCTGAGATGTCTGTCCAGTTACAAAACTGATTTAACCTAGCCAGCTTAGACTAACCTGCAATTCAGACTCAGGCTTTTTGAATGTTTGTCCCTAGCCCTGGAGACCAACTACATGTGCAAAGTATCTATTACACAATAAAAAACTCCAACCAGCTATAAAATTGTACCTCAAAAATATGTACTAACTTTATAACTGATTGCTAGTGAGCTTTAATTTTCACATATATCTGGGTGCACGATGCCCAGTGAAAAACACCTGACCCCTAGGGATTGTGGCAGGTGGATCCCCCAGGTCCAGGGTTTTCATATACCCCAAGCCCTAGGCATTGCAATAGCTGTGATTCCCACCCCCAGAGTGGGGGAATCACCCTGTGGTGATCCTATGCCCCCATGGGTTTCCCCTCTCCCCAAAGTTCCAGTGGAATCATCCTGTGGTGATTATCTAGCCCTGGGTGTTTTCCCATACCTCTGTGGAAGGAGGATTGCCCCTGCAGCAATCCTTGGGCCTTGAGGGTTTCCCTGCACCCTCAGAGTGGTGGACCCCTGCAGTGATCCTCCAGTCCCAGGGGTACACTGGGCACTCCCACGGCTGGAAGCCCCTGAAGTGAGGGGAGCTCCTAGCTGCAAGAGCTTGTTTATTGGTGGTGCAGGGGGAGTCTGGGGTTAGGCTCCCCCTGTACTGGCAATAAGGCATGATGGGAACTAATGCACAATTGTGTGAATCACACATTAGATGCCATCACACATTTACCTGCACATGTAGAGGGGAAGTAAAAAAAACTAGATATTCTGAAGTAAGAAGTTAAATGTTGCTATAAATTAGAGACTCAGTGGGCGCATCTACACAAGACGTTAGAAGCGCAGTTGACTAATTCTGCTGTGCATTAGTGCATCATGGCAAAAGCCATGCTAATGCTCAGTAGAATTAGTCTACTGTGCATTAGCATCACATAAAGAATGTGTGCTGGTGCTACTGTGCAGTAGCACCAATTATGGTGCATTACATTTAGTACCTGTTATTACACATTAATGCATGTGTAGATGTGCCCAATAAGAGGCAGAAAATAGAGTAGGAAACAATGACCAGTTTTCAAAGTGACCGGTTTTCAGTGGGATGCCACAAGATTCAGCGCCAGGACTGATATTTAATACATATCTGATTGTGCTTTAGAAAATAGCAATAGGACAGGATGAGGTGGCCAGAGTAGGAAGGGAGAGCCTGGAGACCTTGGTAGCAACAGCAGTGGTAGGGGGAATGGCACTGGGCTGGGAGCTCACAGGGCACACATCTTCCATACCACATACCAAACAGTTGGGTGTTTTCCATGTTGCAAAGGTGTACTGCCTGTGTGCATGCTACTCCAGATATCCAGGGGTCAAAAAAGCCTGCAGAAAAAAAACCTGGAGCAGCACACACATGGGCAGCATGCACTGCTGAAAAGTGGAGCCAGGCCACCCAGAGCCATGCTGTGGCTGCCAGCCAGACTGCACCCAGCAGAAACACCACTGCTCCAGCCCTGGGAGGTCCCCAGGACCCCATAGTGCTGGCACCCCAGCCTCCCCTACCACCCTTGGGGTAACTTCCTGTGTGCCAAAATGCATATAGCATGGGTGTTCCCTGGGGACAAGTAGCTGCAGCACAAGCCACTGCTACTTGTCTCTAGGGAACCAAACATCCGTGCTGGTCTGGATGTGGCCATAGAGTCCCTCAGCAATCTTAGAAAGCATGGATGGAGGGTCACAGGGAAAGGAAAGAATATCATTTCAACCGTATCAGAATGAAAAACCCTTTTTTAGGATTCTTCAGAGGTAAACTAAGTAGAGGTAATAATATAGCCAAGTTAGAGTTGCCAGTCAGTAGTCAACTTTATTTTACTTTCAAAAAGATGCTCATGTTTTTGGATACAGCACTGTTTTACCTTTTACAGTGTGAAATATTTTTTAAATGTATAGATTTATGTAGCTAATAAATTATGTAAAAACCTGTTAATGCAAGATCAGACATGTCTCATTTGATTACTGTTTTACATTGACTAGATATTAATTAGTGGTATATGTTAGTCTAATTGAATTTATGCATTTTGTAATACCGTACAAATGGTATAAAAAACAAGATAAGTTGCTCTAGTAAAATACTAAAAACTGTAACATTCATGTATTTTTTTAATGGTAAAACTTGAAAAGACCTCATCTGCTTTAAGTGCTCTATTCTCTATAGAGTTGCAAATCAGATTTAATTAGATACTTCAGTGTCTGTGGTGATTTTTTTTATGCTCTGTGTATCTGCAGCCTTTGAACGGACCACAAAGAGATTCAGGTTTCAGGTGCTGTGTCATCAGTTTTGATCACATTACACAACTGAATACCCTAATGCTTTTAACAATGTCATTTAGTGAACTTAATCCCTATCTAGATATTAGAGAAAAAGATGGTGGGCTTTAAATCTACAGCTTTTTTCTATTATAGTAATTCAGTACAAGTCACTTAAATAACAGACATCTATGAATGCAGAAATTTATGGTCTAAAAATCATAGCAGTTCTACTTCGACTTCTTCAAAGTGTTATAAACTTCACACTAGGCACTAACTAAATATTAATACAGGCACGGATATACTTTGTTTCCCGTTTACAGGAATTCTCAATTCAAGTTGCACATATTTCAATTTTAAACAAATTTTGCTGTGCTGGCAGCTTTCTTTCTGTTTACATCTTTTTATTGCTCTGACTGCAGAAAAGTCTGCTAAGTTTAATTTGTTTTTTCTGCTTCATGTAATCAAACCACCACCTCTTTGCCCATAAAATTAAGTGATATATTTATTAATACAGTAGATAATATTAATAGTATATTGGCAAAGCAATATTAATATTAAACTTACATTACCAACATTCCTTTCTGTAAAAGCTTGACAGGTTCATCCTTTTTAAAATGTTTTGTTAAATAGTGGTAAAAGGCATAGCATAGTATGTTAAGAATGGTCAGAGAAAATTTCTTCTGTGTACAATCCTGATATAATTTCCTAGTTTACTAACTTGTGGCACACTTGTAATTCATAATTTATGGACATGGATTGATATTTAAATCAAGATCTGTTCAATATATTATTATGCAATGTCTTTTCAAAATTAAATACAAGAAAAGGATTACAAAACTATTCTTGTCCACAAAATTATAAATAATGCAAAAATTATTTTGCTCAAATGGGAACAGTTATCTTATAAAGTTATTGTGACAGAGAAATACTGAAAACAGAATGCATCATTCAGCTGCCTTGTTACTTATGCAGTGTAACCTGCTGTGCTTTTCCCTACCAGGAATTAATTCCAGAGTTTTACTACCTACCAGAGATGTTTGTCAACAGTAATGGATATAATCTAGGAGTCAGAGAAGATGAAGTTGTTGTGAATGATGTTGAGCTTCCCCCTTGGGCAAAGAAGCCTGAAGACTTTGTCCGTATCAACAGGATGGTAAGAGAGATTTTTGTTAAGCGTTAGTAACAAATCCAGTATTTTAACAGGCTTACATACGGCTTGCTTTTCACCTCCGCAGAGCTAGGTTTAAAATTGTATGAAGAAAGAGTGGGGGAGGGCTTCCATTCAACTCTTATTTGACAGAACTCTTTATTGTACAATGGATTTTCCTTTAATGAGGACCAATAATGGAATTGTAAATTCACTTATTTGCTCCCTTGGGAGAAGGCAGTCTGACAGGCATCATTTGGACTATGCAAAATATCCTGAAAAATTAAGAGCCCAATCCTGTAAAAGACAAAGCATGCCCTGCAAGTGAGCACAAAGAAAATTTAAGGTCTGGGGGATGGAGATCTTGCAAAAAATATTTCTTGCATGATTTGATCCTTCCTCCTTGAACATTCAAAAGGAAATGTTTGTGCTGGAGTATTGGACTAGTATGTCACCAACTGTAGTCTCTGAATGGGCTTTTTTTCTGACCAGTCATCAGAAAGTTTGCAGAACTTTGGTATTCAAAGGGTTGAAAGGGACTTCCAGGATCATGTAGTTCAGTTCCATTTTGTGAAAACACTTTAATCTGTCATGTATATTTTGCTTTAAGAAAGTAATTTTCAATAAGTTAACATACTTGCAATGGAAAATATCAACTGAAGAGAATTTAAGATGAGAATATTTATTCTTCCCTGTTTTCAGCAGTGGCATGTCATGACAAAGTGGCTTGATTTATCGTTTTGATCTCTGTATTTAGCCATTTTTTCTGAAGTAGTAATATATGCCGGGGGTGCTCAACCTCCAACCCACGGGCCAATTGTGGCCTGCGGAGCCATCACATCTGATCCACCGATCTCTCCATAGGTCAGGAAATTTGGCAGTAGTGGGGCAGTGGCCACCCCTCTGCCAGACCACCCCCCTGCCAGACCACCCCCCTGCCAGATTCCCAGACCCAAAGATCCATGCGGCCCATACCCCCATCCCTCCCCCACCCCCACAGCTGATGGGGATGAGGTCACGTCCCCTTCCTCACAACCAACACCAGGTTGTGGCTGTCCATCCCCTTCCACTGCAGGGCTAA